TGCATCTTTACATTTCACTTTGTTTCCTATCCTTTTTATGCCATTACCTAAAATATTATATTACTCAACCTGAAAAGGTAGCAGTTTCATCTTACAAATCTTCAGATAACCCTGCTAATGATGTTAACTACTTACAGTTATCTTTCAAATATAATATAAATTTGTTCCAGTCCTTTTGGAATGCTTGGTATCGCTGGTTCTGGATTCTTCCCGTCAGTTTCGCCAGTTCTGCAAAGTCCATCAACTTCATCTGCCACTCTTCTTTTGTTGGTAACTCCTGTTGTTTCCATCTTTGGGCTAACAAAATTCTTGCCGCAGTTGCTGCATATAAGAACAATTTTTTTCTCTTGTCTCGGTATCTTTCTAACAACTATACCCGATAAAAAAGCTTCTGGTTTTTAAACAAAAGTCTTTTTAAACATTTTCTTTAGCTCATTTTATATATCATTTCCCAGAAAGCTTTTATCTCTTTACATGTCCACCACATGTGGAAAAAAGTACCTTCCTTTTCCTTACATTTCCAACATTCATTTTTTGTTCTATACGTTTTGGCCAGTTTAACTGGTGATAAATACCACCTATACATCATTTTCATAACATTTTCTTTAAGTGTACTGCATGCTGTAACATCTCCCATTCTTCTAACTGTATATTATGTCCAATATATTTAGCCCAATGTATCATTACCAATTTTACCTCCTCATCTTTAATATGCCATTCCAATAATAATTTATATGTATTTTAAAGTTTTTTTTTAATCTTCCCTGGTAGATAAGTGATCTTTACCAAATAAAACAATTGGAAATCCAGGATTTTTGTACATCTACGACTGGGCTATGGCATGTCCACCCAAAAGTAAATGGTAGCAGCAAAGACATGTGCTTTCTAACTCTAGATTAATTTCATGCATAATATCATTTCCCACCCTGAGTATGTAAACATTAAAAAATACACTGCAAACAAGAGCCATCACTAGCATACCCATATTGCAGAGGGGTATTGTGGTTAAGAAAGTATGGCTTGAGCCAGCTCTGAAACTTAGCCCAGTGTTGCTATTTTAATATTGCTCTAGGGATGTGGGCTGAGAGAGAAAAAGACTGCAACAAAAGATATAGAAAGGTTAATTTCTTAATACGGGAAGCATATAGGTTTGACTTACAGCATGGTGAAGCTAGAAGCATATCAACAAGGGAACAATTAGGAAGATTTAGTAGCCTTTATCAGAATGGACACAGGTGAGTATGGAGGAGGAAAAAATATCCATTTCCCAAAAATAGAAGCTGCAAAGTTTTAATCTTTCAAAAAGTTAAACTAATTTAGGGTGAGCACTCATTTCCCCTTATCTTTGGGAATGTGCCAGAACAACAGATGAGCATGTTCAGTGACTGAAAAACACAGACAATAGACATAATGTAGATAGGCAAATCATTCAGAGGCGCTTGAATTAAGATGACAAGTCAACTTTGGAGTCACTGGGAAGCTTTCCAGGCATTTGTGGGCAGTCTGTGCTTTCAGGCCAATGACATTGCCATATATATCTGCTTGGCCCCATAGCATCCATACATATTCCTAGCTGACGGAGAAAAATGTTTCTTCAGCTCCTATGGCCCAAAGCCTGTCCTCTACCTGAGATATAGCAATGACATTTTCATCATCTGGACCCAAAGGAAGAAAACCAGTCCCTTTAAAATGTTACCCTACCCTCAGACAGTGCCTAGATCAGCCCAAACAGCAAAGTTACATTCTGGACACCACAGTGCCTCTATCTGATTAATATTGATATAAACAACACTTTACACTGGAAACCAACTGACAGCTACTTATATGTAAATTAAGGTTACCAGATTTTTTTTTCAATGAATCCGGGGACACTTTCCAACTTCAATTGATTTTGTATGGGGACTGATTTGTAAATCCGGGGACTGTCCCCGGGAAACGGGGACGTCTGGTAACCTTAATGTAAATGCTTCTAGCTTCTACCTATAGAGCACCATGCAATCTATATTTTATTCATAGAATCAAAGAGTTGGAAGGGACCCCCAAGAGTCATTCAGTCTAATTTCCTGCAATGCAGGAATCACAGCTAAAGCATCCATGACAGATCCAACCTCTGCTTAAAAACCTCCAAGGAAAGAGAGCCCACTATCTTTGAGGGAGTCCATTCCACTGTCTAACAACTCTTACTGTCAAAAAGTTCCTCTTAATGTTTAGTCAGAATCTCCTTTCTTGTGGCTTGAATCCATGGGTTTGGGTCCTACCCACTGGAGCAGAAGAAAACAAGCATGCTCCATCTTCCATCTCCATAATAATAATAATTTATGTGCCAATGGAGGGGACGCAAGTGGTGCTGTGGGTTAAACCACAGAGCCTAGGGCTTGCCGATCAGAAGGTCAGCCGATCAGAAGGTCGGCGGTTCGAATCCCCACGACGGGGTGAGCTCCCGTTGCTCAGTCCCTGCTCCTGCCAACCTAGCAGTTTGAAAGCACGAAGTGCAAGTAGATAAATAGGTACTGCTCCAGTGGGAAGGTAAACGGCATTTCCGTGCACTGCTCTGGTTCACCAGAAGTGGCTTAGTCATGCTGGCCACATGACCCAGAAGCTGTATGCCAGCTTCCTTGGCCAGTAAAGTGAGATGAGCGCCGCACCCCAGAGTCATCCGCGACTGGACCTAACGGTCAGGGGTCCCTTTGCCTTTATGTGCCAATGGATGGGATTACAGCACACATTTGCTTCCTTAGGGAAGTAATATTTTCTGCAGAGGAGGAAAAGTTGAAGAAAAGAAGTCAAAAGAACTTGATTCTGCCATTAGGTAAAAGAGGACAGTAGCCTTGCCTGGAGGTTTACAATCTTTGAACATAAGCACATACGAGCTCACCTGGATCAAGGCAGTGGATCATCTAATCCAGCATCCTATTTTCACAGTGAGCAACTGTACTTTTCTTTGAAGCCTACAAACAAGGCATGAGCTCAGGCCCAGTTCCAGCAGCCAATCAGACTTGGCACTGGCTCATTTACAGCAACTGGAATTCAGAAGCATAGCATCTATGACACTGGAGAAAAATACACAGCAACCGAGACTGTATTTACTGTGAGTACAAGGGAACAGATGGACGACAGCAATTTTAAACATATCCATGTCCACAAAAGGCATTATCACAGACATGGAGCAATGCTCATCCTATTGAAAATTAGAACAAAAGCACTCCCAAACAAGCTATACCAATGGTCATGAAGTGATCAGATTTTTCTCACCCAGGCTAAATTAAATCCAGAGAGACTAAGCTCTGCTGAAAATAGAACCATTATGAAAGTGTTACATTTGCATACAGCAAAGATAAAACTAATAGGCTTTTCTCACACTTGAAGTGATTAAATTAAGTTAGTCATTCTCTTTAAACAAGGTGTAGCATCTTCTAGGAACCATTGCCGAACCATTTCACCAAACATGCTCAAATGTTTGTTTGCTAAGCTTCCGGGGAAAGCTGTCGCCTCCCAGCAGAAATAAAATGATGATTGCTACTGCTTTAGGTCAAACCGTGCAAGTAAGTCCCATGTGCTCAAGGAAGCTTTGGAGTGGTGCTCAGGATCCTTCCAACTTCTCTAGTCTACGTGGCAATCCACTTTAACACTTAAATAGAATAGAATTACACCCTTCAGCCGGAGAGAGGAAAAGCACAGCCATGGAAACAGTACATAAATAAAAAAGAAGAAAGGGAAGCACATGCAAGTTGGGGGGGCTGGGGTACATAGCTGTCAACGTTTTCCCCTTTTTAAGGGAAATTCCCTTATTCTGAATAGGATTCCTCACAAGAAAAGGAGAAAGTTGACAGCTATGCTGGGGTAGAGAAGAGAAGGGGAAGATTTCCCTGGCAACTAATTCTTACAGACTGAGTGCTGGGGAAATGTCACATCCCTACAACAAGGGCATTGCAATGCAGCAGGTGGTTAAGTAATTGCTCTGTAGCGCTTGCCCCTGTGATGTTTCCCCAACCAATATGATCTTTCATTTCCTGCACAGAAGATGCATTGCACACCCAGTATTCCATACCAGTGGACAGTTTCAGTGGACAGTTTCAGACAGTTTCAGAAGCTAGAATTGCCATGACCATGAGAACTGTCGTTCTCTCCTTCAGGCTCATACCCCAGATGGCAAACTCTGGAGGAGATGGAGAAGAAGCGGTGTGTGTGTGTGTGTGTGTGTGTGTGTGTGTATTTGTGTGTGCTAAAACAGAAGAAAGCCTTTCCATCCATCTGTCCCTGTCTGGTTATAGAGTGGTCAGTGCCGGATTTACATATAAGCTAAACAAGCTATAGCTTAGGGTCCCGCTCTCTTGGGGTCCCCCCAAAAAAATTAAAGGGAAAAAAACCTGGATGTACATTTCCAAAATATAAGATAAAATACAAATAAAATAAAACCAGTGTTTTGTGTTGTGTAGGCTCCTGTGATGTTGGTAATGGGGCCCCAAACATTTTTAAGTTAGAGCTTAATAATTATTTCACTATTAATATACTTCTTCTTAATTGTATTTCAGTTCACCAATTACTTTGATAAAATACATCTTTTGTTATGTGCAAATGGCTTTAGATACCTATTAGGTCCATAAATTACCATATAGCATATATTCAACACAAAAAAAAGTGACAACTTGTTGTTGACAAAGGACAGCTGGACATATAAAGGGCCCCATTACCTTCAGTAGCTTAGGGCCTCAAAAAACCTAAATTCGGTCCTGAGTGTGGTGACATAATAACAGAATCTCTCTGGTCCTGTGACTGCTCTGCCCATTCACTTGTGCTAGACACTCAGGTCTTAAATCCTATATACCCTTACCTGGGAAGATATTCCATTGACCTCAATGGGGCCAAAAATTACAGTGTACTGTCTAGTGTTAATGGTCTGTTGCTAAGAAGGTCAGGCCTTACACAGAATCATGGAACTGTAGAGTTGGAAGGGACCACAAGGATCAACTAGTCCAATCCCCTACAATGAAGGGATCTTTTGCCAAACCTGGGGCTTGAACCCATGACCTTGAGATTAACAGTCTCATGTTGTACATGTGGAACATAAGAAATGCCCAGCCTGATATCCTTAGTTACAATTGATTTTTTTGTACATCAAATTGCCTGTTGTTTTTATATAACGCTGTTGCTGGCCATAGTCCCATCAAATAACACAGAAATTTCCAGGTGTTTTCTGCAAAAAAATAATAATTGACTCATTTTATAACCTATATTAATTTCACAGAGAGTTCCCTTAGTTTTACTTATTACACGACAAGATAAACAGCTGTTCTGTATTCGCTTTTCCTGTGAGATAATTGGGCACCTGATTCCAATTTTGTGCCTTAAAAATGTCTTCTTACCGCATTAGATGAGATAAATTAGAGATATTACTTTGATGTTTTCCCTGCATAATTTGAAAGCGGAAATTTCCCACTTGATCAGCTTGTTATGAATGACTTTAATAACCTTATGGCATGTTTGTATAATCTTTCTTTCTTTCGCCAAAGGTTATTTCGACTCTTTTGCTTCTGAATTTTTTATGAGAGCTGGTCTGCTGTTTCTGTGGTTATCTTTCCCAAAATGGAGACACGAATGGCTCCTTTATAGTGTGGCTCCCTCGTAACTTTATATTAATCTAATGAAAAACTGGCAATGGGAAAGACATAGGAGTCGTATCAAATTAAGCTTTCTAGAGATGGCATTGCAAGGGAATCATCTTTGAAAGGAAAACACAGTATTTTTCTAGACTGGAGAGTTTCCTCCCTTGATTGACTTATCTAATAGCTCCACCTAATGGGATTAATAGGAATATGCCTGCCAAGGCTTTTCTTCCTCTTAGAACTTTTTATTTGTAGGATTTATATTGTATATGGAGGAGGACCAGAGAGTTGCCAGTGATAGTTGTGCTTCAGCCTCAAAGTTGGCATTGACCGATTTAATTAATGTTTACAGCTTCAGCTTCTGGAACATCCCCACACACTGCAAACTGCAAAGGGTGCTTTGACCTTAAATTCAGGCAGAAACTAAAACTGAGGGGGGTAGCAACGAGCCAGTCTTTTTCAGTACCAGTTCAGCACCACGGAAGCAAATAAGGAAGCACTTTGAACAATGAATTACACTGGGGAAGAGGACATTGGCTGAAAGCTCCTGGGTGCTGATTAGCCTATTTGCACACAATTGGATTTATCATAACATGAGAAGCAGAAACACATGATCTCACTTTGGCCAGATTTTAGCCCAGAAATGAATTTAGGCTAATTTAGAAGCAGCAAGGGTTTCAAAAACCACTTGTACTTGTCACCTGCAGGGCATATTAATCAGCACGTGAGGCTTGACTTTGTTTCATAGGAAGTGTCTGTGCCAATGTTAGTAGCCTCCAAAAAGACTTCTGTACGTTGTAACAGCTGCATGGCATTGCCATAAATGGCTGCATTTCCTGAGGCAACTATGCAGCTGTGGTAATAAATGAAATTGCCACAACAGCCTAACAGGATGCTCTAGCCAGCAGCACATGAAGCTCACATGTACATGGATTTCCTCACAAACAATTTCATTTTTTAAAAAAATCTTACAAAATTTTAAAGAAGGGGGAAAATGAAACCCAGCAGCAACACCATTAAACAAGTAAAACTTCGTTCTCCCCTCAAAAAGAGTCTGACAACTATGATGGCATGACAGCTGAACAACCATAATATTCTTTCTTGTTATAAGTTCTAACATAGCAACTGATATTTACAATTTTCCGCTTTGAACATCACATTTGAAGAATTAATTTAACAGCATGACTGACTCACAACTCTAAATCCCAGCTTCTTTTGAACACCCAAATCAGTCCTTTCAGAACATCTCAGTCTGCGCACAGGTTGAGATCTAGGCGTCACTGCTTATTTCTAAATATCTGGATACACAAAAAAAGAGTTCATGCATCTGTAAAACATAAGAAAGACGGGGAGAACTAGCTACCTGTCTTGATTTGCTTCCTCATATCAATGAAGCTCCTGAATGAAAGATGTAGAGCTCTCACAAGGAGAGGCTGTAAGGACTAGCGTCATAAAACTAGCTTCATAAAAACTGCAGAAATAGATCCGAGGTGCAATTCATAATAATAATTTATTATTTATACCTCACCCATCTGGCTGAGCTTCCCCAGCCACTCTGGGCAGCTCCCAATCAAGTGTTAAAAACAGTACAGCATTAAATATTAAAAACTTCTCTGAACAGGGCTGCCTTCAGATGTCTTTTAAAGATAGGTTAGCTGCTTATTTCCTTCACATCTGAAGGAAGGGTGTTCCACAGGGTGGGCGCCACTACTAAGAAGGCCCTCTGTCTGGTTCCCTGTAACCTCACTTCTCACAATGAGGGAACCGCCAAAAGGCCCTCGGCACTGGATATCAGTGTCCGGGCTGAACGATGGGGGTGGAGACACTCCTTCAGGTATACAGGACCGAGGCCGTTTAGGGCTTTAAAGGTCAGAACCAACACTTTGAATTGTGCTTGGAAACGTACTGGGAGCCAATGCAGATCTCTCAGGACCGGTGTTATGTGGTCCCGGCAGCCACTCCCAGTCTCCAGTCTAGCTGCCGCATTCTGGATTAATTGCAGTTTCCAGGTCACCTTCAAAGGTAGCCCCACGTAGAGCGCATTGCAGTAGTCCAAGCGGGAGATAACTAGAGCATGCTCCACTCTGGCAAGACAATCCACGGGCAAGTAGGGTCTTAGCCTGCGAACCAGGTGGAGCTGGTAGATTCGTACGTCAGAATAGGAGCAAGAAGACTACTTCAAAGTGGCAGAATTTGGGCACCATTCCCTGTGAGTAGTCCTCTGTGTGAGCGACTTTGCATCCGTGTAATCTCAACTACTAGCACAGCCTCTCAATGTTAGGGGATTATGCTAGTGCACTTGAAATGGCTAGAATTCCATCAGCATCACGCACCATGGAATGACACCCATTTAAATGTATTAAAGGCAGTGATCTTTGATTATTTTTGTTCCCCTTCTTTATCTTCTAGAACTCTCCTATGATGTTTGAGGCTAGCAGCCATGGTTTGACAAGGTATGGATGATATGGGTGCCTTGTTTGCGACCACAAGCGGCAAGATGCAAAAGGCTGAGTGAGCTGAGCCACACTTATTTAAACAGTTAAACCCCAAAACGATTTGCATAAAGGGAACAAAGTGTGGGATCTAACTAAGAACCACACAGAGGTTGAGCCAACCCTGTCAAGGGCCAGTTCTTCTACTCATTCCCTTAAGCCACACACTTTCAGGAAAGAAGGGAGTTCTTTCTGCTCCAGCCCCGCTTGGGGTCCCAGAACTCCAGGCGCTTGTTACAGGTTGGCCCCAAAGGCATCCCCTCGCCATCAATCAAATTCCACAGACCTTGAAGGCAGGTTTCAGGTCTGAAGGTGCTGAAGGGTGATCACCAAACCTCAGCTACATCATAACTCCTAACACATCTACCAGCCAGTGTGGCCAATTGACCAATTTATCTACCACCACCTACTAAACACATCACTACAGAGCAGTAGGCCAACAAAAAAATGGCAATTTCCAGGGCTACTAATGGAGAACCTTTGAACTGCAAACATTTTTTTTTCTGGGTTAATGTATATTACAGTTTTCATAAATAAAAAAAGCATATTTTATTAATCCAAAGAGATTGAAAGTGGCCATTTTCATCAGAAGCAGGTGAAAAGAAAGCTCATACATTCCATGACCCTTGCAGAGTGACATTTCAGAGAAATGCGAAATGTCTATAAATAACTTTAATAAAGCATTACAGTGGATTGAGTACTATAATCTATATAAAAGCATTCTCTCTGCAACAATATATTTATCCTTTCAGCTTCTTCCTTTCCTCCCCAACCTTTTTTTAAAAAAATAATTTGCCATAATAAAAGCAGAAGATTAATTTTGACGCACCACATCTCCTTGAACAAAGTAGTACTAATTTTTGATTAATTTATTTTTCCTGAGTAGAAGAAGTAGTCTAAATTTAGCCTGACAGAAATTGTTGCTGTATTGGAATGAGGTGTCTGAATGTGAGCAAGTGTGTGTGAGAGAGGCAGGGGCAGAAGGAGAGGGGAAACAATGAACTAAATCAGAAATATTCCACCATATTAATCTCCAATAAAGTCAGAAGGGGGGAACTTAAGGAAAGGAAGCTAGGAAAAGAAAGGTAAGATTCACTGAGGATTCCTCACAGGCTGATGTGCCAGGTTCTGCCCCACATCCATGATGTCACACCCATGACATCACATGGTGCGGTGCAACCTGGTGCAGCGTGTGCATGACATCACACAGCATGGCGGGCCCCAATGGGCCTCGGTGCACCATGTGATGTCACATGACAAGCTTAGGAGGATGACAGAAATGGCTCCAGAGAATGAGTGGTTGTCTAGGAAGACCCCCCCCCCCACTCCCCACTCTGGATTTGCTGTTTAAAGGCAAATAGAAGAGGGTGGAATTGGGTCGGTGAATTCTAACGATCATTTAGCGGGATAAAACTGCATGTAGACATTTGATCTCCAGGAATTTCCCCAGAGTGGCAAACTCTGCTTGTGACTTACATACATTAAAAGTTCTATAGCAGGCATGTCCAACTTGAAGTTGACTGTGATCCACGATCCAATATAAAAACTGGCAGTGATCTACCACCGAGGGATGTGTGGAGGGTGAACGGGTGCTGGCTGCTTCCCCTGAGTGGACAGGAATGGGTGCAGGGTGGGAGACAGGTGTTTCCCTGGATGCAGGGTGGGCAGGCGCTGGCTGCTTCCCCCAAGGGGGCAGGGATGGGTGCAGGGCAGTTGGGCAGGTGTGGGCACGCCCACAGCGTCAAAATTGCCCCTCCCAACATCTCCAGCGGAGGGCAGGTGGCAATCGACCAGAATTCATCGCAGGATCTACCCGTCAATTGTGATTGATGCATTGGACATGTCTGTTTTATAGCATTAAGTTAACATAGCCTTTCTTGATGGGATACATCAAGTATACTCCTTTAAGTGTACACAAAACACTGTTCTATGGCTTAAATTAAGCAGACTAGATAGGAGGCCTTCTGAGAACTAAAGGCAAGTTA